AAAAAAAAAAAAAAAAAAGAAGCTCGATACGATCGACCGCGAGAATTAATCGCTTTCGACTTCATCTTGTCATCCGCTCTTCTGAATCACCTTCCACGTATGGAAATGGAAACGATTTTTTTTCTTTCTTTCTCTTTCTTTCTTCGTTGCATCCTTGATTTTTCGGAAAGGCTGGGTTATCCTTGGACGAGCGGATCACCTTCTCCTTTAAATTTTCAACCGCGATCACCTTCGAGGGAGGTTGAGGGAGGGGTCGAGTAGAAAGAAGACGTATTCGAATAAGGAAGGGAAGCGGAGAGGCGGGTCGCGATTGGCCGGGAACAAGCTCCCGTAAAAGGGCTTGTCTGGTGTCCCAGTTTTCAGCGGCGCGTGCGTTCCCTTCATCTGCATAATACAACTTGTTTCATAATACGGTTGAGGGCCTCGAGGCCATACTTGGCCGACGTTTCAATACCCTCGAGCCAACAGATACGCACAAGAGATACAGGTGATATGTATATGTATATATATATATATATATATATATATGTTTGATCGAGAATTTCGTCCGTGGAATATCAATCGCGGCCGAGATTTTCGGATTATAACGAGATCTCTTAGAACATGTACAATCACGTTAAAAATTACAGAGATCTTTCTTTGAATTATTTGTATGAAACAATTTGTATGTGTTGAAGTGGATCTCGCGTAGTTCGTGAGATTGTTTGTAATATGTAAGAGATAGAGGAAATTTAATTAAATTTAATTTTGAAAATAACTAGATATCTTCGAAGGTTTAATTATTATGAAAATTAGAATGATTCTATCTTTTATTTAAATTATTTGTACGAAATAATCGTATGTTGAAGTGGATCTTGTAGTTTGAAACGTCTCGTGAGATTCTTTGCAATACGTAAGAGATACACAGGAAATTTAATCCTTTTGAAAATAACTAGATATTATTGGAAGGTTTAATCATTGAGAATTAGAATGATTCTATTATTTCTTTAATTTATTACGAAATAATATTGGGTATTGAAATGGAGATATTTAAGAGATAGAAAATGATCAAAATTTAACTTTCGAAATTAACGAGATCTCTAATCATTAAAGATTAAAACGATTCTATTTTCTCTTTAATTTTTCTACGAAACAAATGTGTATTGAAATGAGTCTCGCGTAGTTTTTGAGATTTTTTGCGATACTTAAGAGATACAAAATGATCAAAACTCTTCGAAATTATTTTAAAAGATACGATCACGTTAAAAATTAGAGCGATCCTATATTTTATTTAATTCGCTATTGAAATTATTGATCGTGTATTGAAATAGATCTCGCGTAGTTTTATAAGATTTTTTACGATACTTAGAGATAGAAAATGATCAAAATTTAACTCTTTCGAAATTATTTTAAAAGATACGATCACGTTAAAAATTAGAGCGATCTTTTCTTTAATTCACTATTGAAACGATCGTGTATTGAAATGTAGGATCTCGCGTGGTTTGAAACGTCTCGTAAGATTTTCTACGCGATACGTAAGAGATATAAAAGGATAGACGGGAGATTTAATCGCTTCGAGAATCGGAACGTACAATCGCGTTAAAAATTAAAAAAATAAAAAAAAAAAAGAAATCCTATTTTTTCCTTCAACTTATATAGTAAAATTGAATAGTAAGACGAGACGGTAGATCGCGTAGGTTTGAAACGTCTTGCAAGATTCTCTATGACACGAACGGCTGACGCATGCGCGATCGTGATGACAGCAACTCGATGCAACCCGACGTACGCCGTGGTGCGGAAACGTGATTTTTCGATAGCGATCGAACCGATTGAATAATACGACAAATACAACCGAGTAACGATATTACTCGTCCCTCGCCCCGAGATAGAATATTAAATCCGTAATAAAAAAAACAAGGAGTGTCATTAATCAACTATCCCCCCTTCTACTCGTTTTAATCTTGCCTGCAACGTCGAAATAAGTTTATGAGGCACGCGTTTCGTGTTAAAAAAAAAAAAGAAAAATTCTCGATTGATCAATCGAACGAAAATTGGTAAAAATCTTGATCTGTGGTAATTAGAAAAAAGCCGCGCCAATCTAGGATAGGAAGAGAAATTGAAACCGTTAATTCGCATCTTCGAATCGTTTATTCGTGTATTCACGTTTCGAAGCTCGAAAGTAGGTCACGTGTGCACACGTGTGAGCGCAGTTAAGATAAGATAAATCGATTCGGGGAAAATTTTGCAGAGAAGAGAGAAAAAGTGGATTTGGACAGAGGCAAAAAAACCGAAGCGAAGGAGAAAAAAAATTTATATCAGCCACGTTCGACGATTCCACATCGCTTACCCACAGGTGCAGAGCTCGCATATGCATTGCTCCTTCAGGGGGATCTTGGACAATATTTCGGGCAGTTTGGCCGGTAGCTGGCGGACGTCGTCCTCCTCGAGGGAATCGGGCGTCTGATCTCCTCTTCTCGGCTTCTCGGTCGGCCCCTCGTCGCCTCGCGTCGATTTGACGACCCTCTCCTCGATCCCCCGGCTCGGTTTCCCCGCAGCGGGCACCGGTTTCCTCGTCGGCGAGACATAGTCCCGAGGTTTGCCCTGTGGCGACTGTGGCCTCGAGTCGCTACGTCTGAAATTTGTATGTTTTTGTTGATCGATTCGTTCTTAGTTCTTGGCAACGATTCGAAGAGGGGGCAACTGTCGAATTTATGTAGAAATATATCCTTCGAATATATATATATATATATATATATGAAATTTCTTAACTTAAAACGATTTCACGTTTCATTTTAAAACTTTTATATTTTACGTATTTTACGTATCTTTATCAAGGAAAAAAATTTATTGAATATTAAAGTTTGTATTGTTGTTTTTGCGTGATATTTTATGAAAGCAATTATCAAGATGGATTTGTCAGGGCAATTATAGCGATAATATCGTTCGATGTCTTTTTATCTTTCCTGTTAACATAATTATTGCTCTCACATTCACTATTTTATTATTCTTATTTTTCTTCTTATATTTTTCTTTTATCTCCATCTTTGTCATTGCTTTCTCTATCGTCAATTTCTTTGTGAATAGAAATAATTTCGTCGTTCAATAACGAGAAATCGAACCAATTTCATTATTATAAAAACTTTGAAAATATTTCTATCCCCACGACTGTCAAACTAAGATGCAGATCCATCTTTTGATAGATAAGAAAATCTTTTCGACATCATGTTATTCTACACTTCGTAAGATTACACGATTAAAAAGGAATCTATTTTTCCAAAAAAATCGAACATAAACAAATATATCGTCGTTGTTCGAACTGCCGCATCGATCCAAGAAGAGTCACAAACGGTTAAAATCGGTTGGAAATTTCAATATTTGCAAGATTCTCACCTCTCAGGGCTCCGTTCCCTCTGTTGCGACGGTGGTCGGCTCGGTTTTCCAGCGGCTGGGATCGGTTTCTCTTCCCGCAATCCGGGGATTCCGCGGGGGTAGCCGGGCCGTTCCGGCGATTCCTTTCGCGGAGTGGAGGTGGCGAATCCGTCGTACCTGATGTCGTCGACGACATCCCGCGCCACCATGCTAGTCACCTGCTCTTTGTCGATGAACTCGCTCGTCGACTTCTCGATGACATCTCTCTGTAAAATAGGAGCACAGTATTTAGATTAGGCTAAATTAGACGGGAGGAAGATTCACAGGGGCACAGTGGAGAGAAAGAAAAGTTGGAAATATTTATATTATATTATATTATATTATATTATATTATATTATTGATTATTATATTATGTGAGTGATTATATTATATTAGCAAAAGCTACGACGTTTGATCGATTCTTCGTGGTTGATGTGACCGTGATGAGATTATATCAAAGTGCAAGTAAAATTAGAACGTATGTATATAGTAATATTATTAGTCCGAATTCCTATTTCAAACTGAACGTACGACATTTATGTGTAATTTATTTGACGTGTCGAAAAACTTGAGGATCTCGGAGCAATTTTCTTAAGATTAGCAATCTTTGTCAAGGAAATCTCACGCAAACAATTACGCTAATAAAAACGTTCCGTCTTGATCATCTTACTAATCACAGTTAGTACTTTCAGTTGGCAAATGGGTCGCGAATGTTTAATTGCTTTGCGACACGTGCAGCGCGCTCTTTTAGGAGAATTCGTGGAAAGAAGCGAAGAAAGGGAACGAGTCCAAGATGAAATCTAAGAGACTATTAAATTCAACTAGAGTAGAAAATTGAGTCGAAAACGCGACCAGCAGCGACCTTGCTCGTCGTTCGACGCTCGACACGCGCTTCATTTTATACGCTGGAGGATCGCTAGGAACGTAACCTTTTGCTCGACTTGATTCTCGAAGCTCGAAGCCACAAAATTCTCTCTCCTTTGATTCAACGAGACGAGTGATTTCTCGCAGCGAGGAAATAAAAGAAGGGAGAACGAAGGGGATTAATTGGAGGACGAAATCGTCGACATCGAATACCAACAACAATACACTGGATTAAAAATGGTGCTTGGCTCGACGGAATGCGGGTAACGCGAGATCGGGGCAGATGGCGTTTGTGCACACGCCTGCATCGTGTCGCATAACACGTCCCGCCATCTTGGAGGATTCGGTTTTCTCGTTCAGAGACGTGTCCTTACGACAGTTCACGCGCGCGAGGAATGCACGTTTGCACGTTGGAATCCCGTTTTAGATGGGAGATTTTCGCGAGAGAAAAAGATCCATTGGAATCGTCGACGAAATTTAGCTATTCCAGTTCATCCGGTTAGTCCAGTTCTCGATAATTTCTTTGCTCGAGTTATTATGTGAATTTCCAGATCGTGAAAAACTTGTAACGGAGAGAACATTGTATTTCTATTCGAAAGAAAGAGAATTTTAAGTGGAAACGAATTTTATGATAATTCGGTTAATCCAGTTTTCGGCAATTTCTTTGCTTGAGTTATTATGTGAATTTCCAGATCGTGGAAAAACTGGATCAAAAGAAAATCGAAACGTGAATGCAATTGTCGATGAATCTTGACAAGTTGATCGAACAGGACAACTTGTAACAGAGAGAACATTGAATTTCTATTCGAAAGAAAGAGAATTTTAATGATGGAAACGAATTTTATGGTACAGAGTGAAAGTATGATTTTTATTTCATTTAAAAAAGAAAAAGAATACGTAATTGGTGAGCAGATGTTGAATCGTAAAGGTATTCTAAGCGCTATTCAAAAGTACAGAGGTTACGCATATACGACGTATATAACCATAGAAACGTAAAAGATCGGTTTTTCTATTCGAAAATATTAAAGATTACAAAGGAATTTTACGAGTGAAAGTATAAAGATTTCAATATTAATTATCGAATAATTGAACGAAGAGATAGTTTTGGCATCATTTGAAAGATTACAGACATCGCGTAAAAGATCGGGTTCCCCCCCCTCCCCCTCCTCTTCCTCCATTCGAAGAAAAATATTAAATACAAACACGAACGATAGGGAACGAAAGTATGATTTCATTTTCGGTCGAAATTGGAAATATCGCAATAGAATGATTATTAAACGAATATAATTGATCGAAATCGACGGTAGAAGTATTATTCAAAGGTATTCAGAGGTCACGCATATATCCTCGAGGTTCGAGCTCCACACCCGTTTCGCCAAAATTACTCGTTGAATTATTTAATTCCGTTTTCGCGGCGAATACCTGTCGCTTTCCCTCCCAATACCGTTGAAAACAATTCGAGCTGGCGTACCAGGATGTCCCGCCACTTCAAAAATGAACGAATCAACGATTGGTCGAGTACCGAAGAGTTATGCGATTCAACGATACGTCCGCATTCGTGAAAATCGGCCGATGGAATTCCCTCGACGAATTTAGAGCGAAATTCTCGAATCACGTATTTCCCTTGCAATTACGTGCGTACACAGGCTGTGTCGCTTTGAAATATCTCCACGTGTATATCTCTTTTCGGTTCGTTAGCGTTGATCATTATACTTGGCAAGCACGTTCGTTCCCCGGCTTAACGTTATAATACGATAACAAGGCAAGCAACATTTGCTAATAACGTTAAAGGGGGGCCTTTATACCGTGGTCATTCAGCCACGTGTTTCTATATCGATATTAGCAAGGAGCTACGTCGGTTTATCGTGTCAATTTTCAATCGTTCCTTCGCAACAAATTCTACGCGATGTCTATAGGAGAATATTGGAGAGTGGCACCATCTTTCGTGCCATCGCGAAGAGTGATGACGTTGAACGTGCAATTAAAGTCCGTTCGATTCGCCCGTACAATACGAAAGTTTTATTTTATATTTATTTATATTTGATTAGCAGTTGAATTCAATTAATTCTCCGGTTATTAAAATATCAACGAATTATAAATCGCATGACAGTGTAATTATACGACAAAATAATATCTATCATACGATTGTTCATTTGTTATTGGACAAGTTTATTACTCAATATATAAAAGTTATTGCCACTTCGTCGAAAATAGAGGGGCTCTTTGTTCTTTTTGAATCTTCATTTTGAATGAATTATCCAATAATTCATTAATATTCGCATCTAAAGTCCGAATTTATCTAATCCAGAGATTAGGTTAGGTTAGGTTAGATTATCGCAATAGCTCTATTCAATCAACATTTCAGATAGTAACACATTATCGAATGAGCACAAACGTCGAGTAAACTCGAAACAACATCGCTATTACGCGAGTTTACGTACACGTCGAGCCGAAGCGTGCCCTGATATAAGCAAAATGCACGGATCATCGTGTGTTTGAACGAATAATCGAAAAACAGGGCTCTTTGCTGTTACTCTCGACAAGGACGCTGCCGTCACGCGACGAGATACCGCATTTATTGCCAATACCAGGTTATTTTCCAGTTACCACGAGGTGAGTCGCGTGATCTTTGACGATCCAAATTTTCTTAACGACAGCTGTTCTTTCAAACGTAGCGGAGATTAACGGTCGACACTTCTCGTTTCTTCGTAACGTCGAGAGAATTCGAAAAGAATTATCCATTAATATTTCGGCGTGTGTTCGAATCGTCGGCCAAGAACGAACTTGCCTCTCTACGAAAATAAATACGTTTCCTCTCGAATGCTCGCTTAACGCGAATCTCCTTCCACCGCGAAAAAGAAAGCAGAAGGCTCGAAATTGGCGTCATTAAGTCGGCCGGAGCGGAGCGTGCATGCAATTAACTCGAGTGTTCTCGTTAAAGACGCTCAAAGAGTCCGGTTTCGATTGTTACGTTAATTGGATCGAAAATAAAAAGAAATAAAAATAAAAGAAAATAAAAGATCCGCGAGGAGTTGAATTTTTATTCGGCATACCTGTTGAACCTACCTAGAAGCTCACGGAAGAAATTGATATTCGTAGGAAGGGAGAGAGTATCGACTGCCAAGTATTTCATCGGCCATCGCATCGAGACCTCGATAATCGATGTTAACGACGAATAAATCCTGTTCTACTGCCACTATTTCTCATATATATTTTTTATTATAATATTATTTGCCTATATTCCGTGGATAATTTTCAACTCTTTAGATACGATATTCGTCGAGTATTTATTTTTATTTATTTATAGCTTGTTTATAGTTGGAGAAAAAACGGAATAAAAAATTAAAAAGCATCGAAAAAAAGAAAAATCAATTTTTTAGCAAAGTAATCTCCAAAGAGGAGCTTCTATTTCGGATTCAATTTTCCGCAAAACAAAACCGCAACTTTCGGCGAAATAGTCGTGTAAAAAGTAGATTAGAATCATACTTTGTAAAAACGATTGCGCACGCGCTATATATACAAGCTATATATATATATATATAAATGAAAAGAAGCAAAAAGTTAAAAAGGATATAATTATAAATGACGCGATAATAATTTCAATCGATCGAAACGATATCTTGGCGTGTCATCGTTGATTACTATTTACGCGCAAATAGTACAACACGACGCGATGTTTACCTTCGTTAACGAGAAATTCTGTCAAATCCTATGCATAGATTCGTCGTAAATATCGTCGTTATCAACCTAAGCAAGGTCAGACAAACAAATACGCAATTCTTGAAATTCCATTGGTCTCGAACGACATCATTCACGAGTTAGGATATTACACGTACCGATAATTCATCACGCTCGCGGTAAACACGTATTTATACATTGATCGCGAGTTGCGCTTCGAACTCGAAACCGAGGAGAAGGGAGAGGGAGAAAAAAAAAAAAAACATGGTCGAAACGAACGATACGTAAAACGTGTGGAATCGTGTGGCAGACGACGAAACCAATATAGGAGGTCAAGTAAGAGGGACCGCGAGGAGATCGCGGCATGAAATTCAATTGGTTCCGCATTTGCACAGCTTACCGACGGCCGATGACATCACATCCAAACATGGTCACCGTGTTCCAAGGTAATTGTTCGTTACGTGTTGCGTTGGAAAGAAAACGAGCGTGCAAATTGAAATCGCAATCCTCGCAAAAGACACGACTCTTAAAATTCGTCGAAAATTCTTCGACGTCGATCAACGGTCGTTTCGTGCTCGAGGAGATAAACACAATGGAACGCTTTGGAATCGGGTCAAAGGTTGGCCAAAGCCAGTTCAAACTAACGAGCGTGACGGATCGACGGACGGATCGTGACTCGATCGAAGAAAAAATCGGGATGAGATCATCCGCGAACTTGGCCAACCTCCACGCGATCATTATCGCTTTGCATACACGCTTTGCCCCATTCGAGTCGATTACAGGTGATTGCAATGTGCACACGACACACGCCGCTCAATATTCCGTTGACTCTTATTAACCGAGCGCACGAGTCGTATATATATGTGTGTGTGCGAGTTTTCCATTCGGTCGATGGTTGTTTACTAGCCGTAGAGGTCGAAATTGTCGCCTCTATGAGAGAACTGCTCGAAAACGATTATACGATCGCCTTCTGCTAAACATTCGTGAACCCGTGGACGGAAATGTTTACGACTTGTCGTTAGAGTCGATGAGAGAAAACTGACGTTGTATTTCGATTACAGTGTATACAGGGTGTTGCTTCAATTCTTTCAATTGATGAAAGAAATTTGAAAAATTGTTAAAAAGAATTGGATATTTTTCGATTATAGATATGAATGAGTTATCGGTAAGAAGTAATTGGATGTAAAAAAAGAGAAATAAAGAATAATGTAGCGAGATAAAAAATTCATCTTCTTCGAACTGCGTATATATATATTTATAATCTCTATAATTTTTTGGAAAAATAAGAAAGCGATAAGATTATTTATTTTCATATAACAACGATTCAATTATAATTGAAAAATTTCCAAACTCGATTTACGACCGCGAAATCTTCGAACGAACAAATTTTATTCTACTTATCTTTTCAGACAGGATTACGAAACGAACTCGTACTATAAATACTACAAATGTATAGATACTACAATAATTATCCATTTATTAGATAGATTAGAAAAAGATATGAGAAAATGGACTATTCGTGGAACGATAGAGAAACGTACATGTTCGAACCTATTACTAGTGATAATTGGAACGCAAACAGGATTTATCGGTAAATACGTAAACGTATTCAACGCGTTCACGATTGCAAAGGACGGTGCGTGACGCGATACTATAATTAGTCGCAAGGAAACGCAGATTCAACTACTTTTTTTTTTTCTCGCGTTTTATAACACATTTGCATCGTATCTGTATGAAACGAAACGAAAAGGAACAACGATTCTCTTAAGTCTTAAGTCTTAAACTTACCAAGAGAAAACAGCGTTTTTTTTAATTTTATCGATATTTCGCCGATAGATCGAGAATTCTCTCTTATTCCACCGATTGTCACTCTTTCTGACACGGGTTACGTCAACTTTATTTTTAACCGAATAACGCGCGAGAACCTATGACCTTCGCCTGATTTGGAAGTGAAAGTATCTCTGACCGAGCCTCTTCCGCGACAGGCGTGTTGCTTGCCTTTGCCTGTTCACCTGTGTATTCTCTTCAAAACATCGTTTCATACAACGGCCAATTTTGTATATTCGATAATTTGGGAAAAATTCAACGAAATTCCTTTCTCTCTCTCTCTCTCTCTCTCTCTCGTTCCAACGAAAGTTCGAAGATCTTTCTCAACGAAAAAAAAATCTTCGAGCCAAATCCCACGTCGTCATTATTTCATCTTCTCCGCGATCGTTAAACGCGGTGCGGTTTTACGCAAGAGCTTGATTCAATAAAACCTCCTCGTACGATCTTTCGAGGAACAACGTTCGCCATTATGCCTCCCCCTTCCCCCCACCCACCACGAATAGATTAACTAATGGCTTACTCGTTACTCACCACGTCCTTACGCGTGTCCCTCGTGAATTCGCCGATGACACGCTCCTCCACCGCGTCGCGAACGTCCTGCACCGAGGTGAAACTGGACGATTGATCGATTACGTAAGAGGATCGAGCCACGTCGATATCGGTGCTATCCTTTTTATCGGTCACGTGTTTCTCCATCGAAATTTTCGTCGTATCGCGTCCAAGCAAGGGAGAGGTTGGCCTTCCTCCGTCTTCCGCGTCTCTCGCAGGCCCTTTTTCCCGATCAATCGGTTTCTTCCGATCCTGCGGCTTCTCGTACACGAACGAGCCATCCCAAGTCGAGGCGCCCGGTTTCGTCGGTCTCGAGGATCTGTCCACCTTTTCTGGACTGGTTGGGCGATCTTTTTCGGGCGACCCCTTTCCGTCCCCCGCTCGTTCCCTCGCGGCTGGTTCTCGCCGAGGCTCCTCGTCGCCGACTTCGCGAACGATCGTCGCGGAATATTTGGACGAGTCGAGGATCTCGGAGGTATCGGTGACGAGAGTGGTGCGCTCGAGGGTGGTCGAGGCGAGGAACTCGGAAGTCTCCTTCGAGGCGTCGGTCACGGTGATGGATTTTTCGCTGACGTAAGCCGTCGGCTCCTTCCTCAATTTTCCAAGATCCGTAGGCGACCTAGGAGCCTCCCCCTTGTCCGCTGGTCGACGAGAACCGTCGTCCGTGCACGGTTTCTTGTCGTCGACGGGTTTCTCGCGGACGAACGAACCGTCCCACGTCGAGGCGCCCGGTTTGCTCGGCCTCTCGCTCTTCCCAGGACTCGTCTCGGCCAATCTCGGCGACGGTCTCCGATCCACCGCCTTCTTCTCGAGATCGGCGCGCCCTTCCTCGATCGTAACAGACTTTTGCACCGCGGTTGGGACGCCGTCCCGGACGATCACCGTCTCCACGGAGCTGGTCGAGTAGTCGAGGTTCGATGAGTCGGAGTAACTGTGGTGCACGCTCGATTGCTCCATCACGATGGAGTTGCTGAAAACTTTGGAGATTCGCTCGGTGGTGTCGCGAATGTCCAACGTGGTGTCGGCGACGTGCTTCCTCGACCTCGGCACGGGGCTGTCTCCGACCGGTCCTCCTCTCCTCGTTCCCGTCGATCTCTCCGCGACGAAGGTCCCGTCCCAGGTCGAGGAGCCAGGCTTCGTGATCCCGACGTCTCTCGTCGTCTTCCCGGCTCTCTCCGGTGTTTCCGGCCTGCTCGAGGAGTCGGCGGCCCGTGTCGGTTGCACGACATCGTACACGATCGTCTCGTGGACCGAGGATAGACTCGAGTCCCTGATGTCGGTGAAACTCTGCTGGCTGGACGAGTGCTCGACCACGTAGGAAGCTGTCGAAATTTCCGCCTCGTTTATCGAGTTGTCCCCCGTCACGTCGCGGATCACTATGCTCGAGTCGGCGATCGATTTTCCACAGGGCTCCCCCTTTCGACCCGCGTTAACGAAACCGCCGTCCCACGTGGACCGACCAGGCTTCTGACTCCGCGTGTCCCGTGCCCCTCCCGTCTCCTCGGCGCTCGGTCGTCGAGGTGGGGGGTGGCCGCCACCCTCCTCCTCGAATCTTCGAATCTCGCCCGAATCTTCCTCCAAAATGGCGGCGGACACGGAGCTCGCCTTCTCGACCGTCTTTCTCCTCTCGTCCGTGGCGGTCGCGTATTCCACGATGTACGACGAGGAAACGGACGACTCTGAAACCGTGGACACGTTCTGCTCCTCGGTCACGTCTTGAACGTCCACGTCGGAGTCGTGCCGCTTCTCGCTCCTCCTCACCACCGTTCTCTCGCCGAGGGACGTCGTCGTTGACCGTCCCTTCCCGCCCTCGCCCTCCTCGAACCCTCCGTTCCAGCTCGATTCCCCTGGCCTCGCCGCTCTTCCTCGAGGCGGAGACACGACCCCGTCCCTCCGCTCCTCCGACAAGAACCTCGAGGAATCGTGCGTCGACCGCCTCTTCTCCACTCCATCCCGACCCCAACCTTCCCCGCGCCTTCGAGCGGAGGCTTCCACGCCCGACGCTCTCTCCCCGTCCAGGAACACCCCAGTGGACTCGAACACGTTCCTCTTCCTCGGCTCTGGCGTCTTCTCGATCACGAACGTGCCGTCCCACGCGGACTCGGCTGGCTTCGAGCGACTACCCTTTCGATACGCGTCCACTCGCGGCCCAGCGAAATCGATCGTGTCCTCGGACACGGTCCTCGGGTCGCGAGCCACCGTGGAACGCTGATCGATGAACGAGGAGCTCTGCCGAGATTCGGAGATTTCAACGCTGGACGAGCTCTCCCTCGCGCCACCAGCCTCGAACACTTTCGACACGAGCCGATCCACCTTCGCCTCGTCCCGCGTCTCCCCCCTCCCCTTGGAAGGGCTCTCGCTCACGAACGTGCCGTCCCACGTCGATTGTCCAGGCTTGTTGCACCGCGTCGCCACCCCGCCAATAATTCTCCTCTCCTCCTTCGAGGAGGAATCGTCCGTGAATTTGACCCGAGCCTCGGACGGCGCCTCGACGCTCGTCGTCTCCACGCTGCGACTACGAGCGCTCGTCACCCTCCCGCCTTCGTCCACCCACTCGCCCGTCGTCTCGTGAATCCTGCTCGTGCTCGTGCGCCCGTCCCTCGTCGTCTCCTCGTACGTCGTCCTGCTGCTCGATTCTCTGCTCTCGTACGACGAGGCGCCGTTCACCGATCTCTCCACGCTCCCCGCCGATTTAACGTCGCGCGTCCGCTCCTTGCTTAAGAAGTCTTGACAACTTTTCTTCCCCGTGTCGCGGCGCGTCGAGCTGGTCTGGGGGGCGGACTCGATGATCTCGATGACGTTGCCCTTCGAATCAGTGATAACCTCGCGGCTCGTCACCTCCAACACGCTGCTCCTCGACTCGCTCTCCACTACCCGCCTCGCCTCCTCGACCACGCTCGACGACACCACCTCGACCGTCCCCGTCTCGGCCGAGGAGGTGGCCGTCGCGGCGACTTCCTTGCTCCCGGCCCCCTTGCTCCTCCCGCCGCCCTTCTTCCGTATAGTCATCCCAGATCTCCTCGCGTACACTTCCTCCTCCTTAACTACTTACTCTCATGCGAAACGACCAGCTAAGGTGCGCGGAAAATCGGCCACCGTGTTCGTCACAACGGCGTATCTGTCGCGATAGTTGGAGCCGGACTGAAGCGACCGGCCTCGTTTGCAAACTCGTTCCTCTCTCTCTCTCTCTCTCTTCGTCCCTCGGTTCTTGCGCTCGTCTTTCTCTCTCTCTCTCTTTCTTACACTCGCCGAGTAGCGTTGCTAGGTCTCTGTATGCGCGTATATATATATATATATATATATATATATATATATAGTTTCTCTCTGTTTTGTACGTAAGCGCGTTGAATACGCGCGAAAGATGGCGAAACGGAACGAAACGCGGTCGAAAGAGTCGATCACGGTCGATTCGGTTAGGTTGCGATGTTCTCGGCTCGGTACCGCGAGTCGATGTGGCATCGGCGATGCCTCGCTGGCCCTAGTGACCACACGGTACACCGTTCCTCTCCGTCACTACCATTGCCACCACGTACCGCGGCTCTTTTGCCTGGAGAACCCGATCCGGTCTCCCTACTTTTCCTCTCGCGTGTGTGTCGCCCGGCGTGGGATGTTACTCGCGTGTGTGCACGCGAGACTCTCATTGCGAGCGCGCAAATACTTCTTCCTCCGCTTCTTCCCTCCAGACCGGCTCGTCCCCCCTCCTCCCCTTCGCCCACCGAGTGTCCTCTTTAAGGACACGATTTATCTCCCATCGTTTACTCCCTTACTCCGCGTTTACGCTCCTCTCCGCCTCGCCTCGCCTCGCCTCGTCTCGGTTTTTTCTTCTCCTCTCAGTCGAGATACGATTCTTCGAGTTTAAGCGACGAGCGAGAAATGTCGAGTATAAAGTAAAAGAAATTGTATATATATATGTATATATATGTATGTATAGTATAGATTGATAGGAGCGAGAGCGATTTTTTTTCTCTCTCGAATATACTCGTTCAAAATATTTACAGTTTTTAAGCTCGAATGATTTTAGAATGTGCGCGGGTCGGAAGATGCCAACTGCGCATCACACTGTGTATATCGAGGATATATATCGCGTTCCGGTGAGTGGAAAGCGAGTACAATGCGTCTCGTCTGTCTCGTTACGTTCAATCCGCACGGACGCGTCGAATTATTAAGCTTCAAACTTTGCCCGATCGTGGCATTAATCCCCGTTCCCATCGAGGCTAAGTTTAGCCGAACGGTGCTCGACCGTAATACGCCGGCATCTAGATGCGGAGAGGGTTTTCCCGCGCTCGCATTATTCCACGCACACCTGCCGCCACGGATGCAAACGCGATTGTAATCGTGGATTCATTTACGAAGCTACGAGTTCGTTGCGCAACCCGTTTCGCGGGCGAAACGCGGTCCCCGTTGAATTTTTCTTCTTTTCTTTTCAGAAAATTGGATTCTCGTCCCTTTCGATATCTCGAAATCGAGTCACTCTCGAGATAATTGTAGCTTAATGTATTATTCACGCGACAACTTCTAATTAATTGTAATTAACGTAATAACAAATTTCGTAAGAATTTTATTTCGAATTATTACAAAGTGTAAACGTGAAACTTATCCTCGAGACAATACTTTAATATATTTTAATATATCATTTATGATCGACCAATTTTAATTAAAGTAATGGCTAAAACAAATTTCGAGAGAATTTTATTTCGAGTTATTACAAAGTGTAAGGTCAAACTTATCGTCGAGGAGATATTTTAATATGTTTTAATATATTATTTATGATCGACCAACTGGGATAATTCTAATTAACGTAATGACCGAAACAAATTTCGAGAGAATTTTATTTCGAATTAGCAGAAAGTATATGATGGTAAACTTATTCTCGTCTTCTCGTTTTTTGCTCTCGAGACGATCATAGAGATAACTCCGCGGCGATCATTTTGCGAGCGGGAGCGGCAATTAGCGAGAAAAAAATGCTCGAGAGCGAGCAACAGCGCAGAGTTTCGTTACGAAAAAATTCAACCGAACTCGCAAGTTTTCGTTTCGCTCGGTTTCCGGTCACGTAGAATTTTTACCGGCATTTGGACCGGCGCGAGTCTAAATATCCCTTACTCGGATTTTTATGGCGACCCGTCCGCTAAAACGGCCGCTTTGTTTCGTCCGCGGCGAATAAACGGCCCTGCCTCTATTTTTACGCGCTTCGTTCGAGGCGCGCGTAGAGAGGCACGTACACGGTGGTTTTCTCTTTCACCGGGAGGGCAACAGCGCGCTAAACACGTACACGGAGAGAACAAAAACGCTCTTTTGAACGGAGCTTTATTCGCCCGTGTGCACGCCTATCTTTCGCGACCGAACGAAAGATATCGTGGCCGACATTTTCCTCTCTCCATCCTAAGAGATTACGTTACGTTACGTAGCGCGTGCGTGTACGAGTGTAAACTCAATTTTCGCCCTCGCCTCCGTTTCCTCCGTGTGAATGAATCTCTCGAACAACGAGAAATAAAAAGCGAGACTACGAGGCGCCCTACTATCAAGGAATAACGCGCATATACGCGTATATATATATATATATATTTGTAGGGAGTGGCATATTATTATTTTCCTCAAAGATTTCAAAACAATTTTCAAAACGATCGAGACTTAACGACATTTCCTTCTCCCTAAGCGAAATTTAATTACATATCTACGACTTATATAATTAACGAACGGATAAACATCCGTCGATACGCGATATTTTCTACCTTCCTCGATAACGCTCTCTTAATCTCTGTTCCGAGCAAACGAGCGAGCCTCGCGCTTTCGAAATTACTCCGAGGAAGGAGCAATTACATCGATTAACCCGGCGCGATGTTTTCGTCTGGCTTACGTTAGAAATAAGATTGGTGGCGAGCGGTCGCGAATACGAAATGAACGCGTCTGGAGAAAGAGAGAGAGAGAGAGGGGGGGGGGGAAGAGAGGGGGCAAGTCGAAAGAACCGGTCCCGGTCGTGATGTTTCTCGGTGTAAACCGAGCGATGACGTAGAGCGCAGAGAACCGCGACGAGCCCGCGACTCGTATCGTTCCCCTCGAGGTGTCGGATTTGGTTCCGACCGATCGCCATTATTCTCGCGTGCGCTGCGTGGCCGCGCACGTACCACGTAGTAGGGCGGCCGATCGCGGCGTCGCCACGTTTCTCGTTAACGAGCTGACACGAGTTGAAGGAATTATCGTTGGAGATCGGTGAACCGGTGAGATTTATCGTGCTCGGAATTGGCCTGCCCCCTTAGAGGAGACTTATCGCCGGTGTCGATCCCGCGTTTCCTCTCCGCCCCGAATTTCCTATCCTTTCGACGTGTCCCCTCCCCGCCGCTACTATTAGAATTCCGATTCTAAAGTCTTCTTCCAACGCGACACGTAACATCGTTGCATAACCGATCATTTCCGCGTATATATATATATATGTATATGTACATCTCGTGTCAATGTAAATATATATCGATGAGGCATTTTTCTCGAAGGTAACGTCATTGCCTGATTTGTCGTTTAACCATCGCGTAGTAAAGTAAGCAAGAATTTGCGCGTCCTTGGTGGATGATGAAAAATGAGAGACGGTGATGCAAGAGGAAATGCGACGTTAGCCACAGATACGTGTAAAGGATTATATATACGCGCACGGCTCTCGATTCCTCGTCCGGATCGGGATTCCTGTCCGCCCTTCGGAGATAAGAGACACGCTAAGTGACGAGAACTCGCCAAATTATCGACGTTGTCGCCTACGAATCGTAGCGTAGGTAGCTCCAATAAATACGGCCAATATAGGTAGCGAGTAGTTCTTTCTTTAGCTCAGCCTTTAAAGCCTTCGACTTTCCACCTCGATGCATATTTAATACACACCTGTGGACGACGCATCGAGGAGGAGGAGATCGTGACAAAAAAAAAAAAAATAAAGCAATTTCGCATCGATCTACGAATCGAAGTTATTTTTAATTCGGTTCGAAACAATCGGATGACTTATGCCCGCGGCAATAAGGAAATATATTCGATTCCCGGGAATTTTCCATCTCGCGATTTTTGCGCGTGAGCGAACGATCGATCCCGATCGATTTCGGATTATGGAGCGAAAGTACCACGCCTGGTCCCGCCGCATTTCCCGTGAAAGAAAAAGAAAAAAAGAAGTGTCGTGGGTAGCGAAATCAACTTTGGTGCTCCCTATTTGGCGAATGCGCTGAAATCCGTAGGCGAACCAGTCGAACGCGTCATCCAAGGGGGAACCGACCACACAACCACAATACACCGTTTATATACAACGATCCTCGACATAAGAACGAACGCCATTGAAAGAAGACGTGTTTGCGTCTTCCTCCAATGCTTCCATTCTTCCATGCTTCCATCAAAACTGTGACTCATTATTCTCAAACGTTCGCTCATTCACATACGGATGATTGACTTTCCTGTCCGTTTTAATATCAAAATTGTCATCGGCTAATTAAATCGACTCGTCAACCGAACGATGCACAATTTATGGAGATACGTAGAAACGAAAGATCGATAGAAACGAATTCGATTTCTTAGAAATTCAAAACTGTCATCGACTAGTTAAATCGTTAACCGATCGATGCACAATTTATGGAGATATATGAAAAATCGTAGAAATGAAAAATCGGTGGAAACGAATTCAAAACTTAACCGATCGATGCACGATTTATATAAAAATACATGGTTGAAAATCGTAGAAAAGAAAAATCGGTGGAAACGAATTCGATTTCTTCAAAACTTCGTCGACTAATTAAATCGTTAACCGATCGATTTATATAAAGATACGCGGTTAAAAATCGAAAAATGAAAGATCGATGGAAACGAATTCCATTTCTTCAAAATTCAAAATTTAACCGATCGATGCACGATTTTGAAGATACATGATTGAAAATTGGGAAAAAGAAAGATCGATGGAAACGAATTCGATTTTTTAGAAATTTGAAACTGTCATCGACTAATTAAATCGACTCGTCAACCGATCGATGCACAATTTATGGAGATATATGAAAAATCGTAGAAATAAAAAATCGGTGGAAACAAATTCGATTTCTTCAAAACTTCATCAACTAATTAAATCGTTAACCGATCGATGCATTGTTTATATGGAGATACACGATTGAAAATCGGAAAAACGAAAGATCGGTGGAAACAAATTCCATTTCTTCGAAATTCAAAATTTAACCGATCGATGCACGATTTATATAAAAATACGTGGTTGAAAATCGTAGAAAAGAAAAATCGGTGAAAACGAATTCGATTTCTTCGATACTTAACCGATCGATGCACGATTTATATAAAAATACGTGGTTGAATATCGCAGAAACGAAAGATCGGTGGGAACAAATTCGATTTCTTCAAAACTTCATCGACTAATTAAATCGTTAACCGATCGATGCACAATTTATGGAGATACATGAAAAATCTTAGAAAAATCGGTGAAAACGAATTACTTCGATACTTAACCGATCGATGCACGATTTATATAAAAATACGTGGTTGAAAATCGTAGAAATAAAAAATCGATGGAAACGAATTCGATTTCTTCAAAACTTCATCGACTAATTAAATCGTT